TGATTGCTGTTGCCCAGGTGGTCAAGCACCTGCAGACCCCTCACTAGGTCGGTGCCCGTGGCCAGCACCAGATCCAACAAGGCATCTCCCCTGGTGGGACTATGCACCTCCTGGGTTAGATGAAGGTCCTGTATCTCAGCTAGGAACCTACGTGAGCAGTCAGACCTGGATGCACCTATGAGGGCTTCCTCTTCTCTACTGTTTGAAAGACTGTATTTGTAATGACCCACTTATGTCTGGCATACAACTGTGGAAGCATATGGCTACTGGTTTTGGCAGATCCTATCATAGAAAAGAAGAGAAAAATATGGCTGGAAGAGACTTTAAGAGACTGTCTAGTTAGCCATGTTAGTCTGAAATCAAGCAGAAGGCACCTTATGGATCGGCTAAATTAGAGATGCATAAACCATTCCTGATTCAGTCTATTGTGGATGCTTTCTGAGAGGCTCTGCAATTTTTTAACATTGTCAGACAAAATGGCAAAACAAATTATAGTGCTTCAGCTAATCATCTCACCACAAAAAGGTATAGCTTGCTCCAATCTGAGTCATTATTCTTTTATTTTCAAGTCTGGTCTCACTCAGCAGCAATAGCAATATAATAACTTTAAATATAATGCTTTTATTGAATAGGAAGAGTAAGTAAATTCAAAAGTGTAGAAATTAAAAGGTGTGATACTGTGGGGCAATTTCTGAGAATGAGTAAAAGAAATGAATGCATTTCACATGGGTAAATTAGGACAGTAAAAGTATAAATGAATAAAACCTTTATAAAACAGGTAGTAGACGTTTATGGAAAACCAAGTGGAATTGGAAGAGAGAAGGATACTCCATGATGAAACAAAAAAGTGCACGGAGTTCAGGCAAGAACAAGACATGGAGAGTATGATTTAAAAGAATATTAACTGAAAATAGAACTAAGTATAGGTTAAATAAGAAGTATTACCAAACAGTATAAAGGAAAAAGTTTGGAAAGATTTCACAGAAAAACTCAGAGAAAATGTAGTAGGTATCAAGAAAAGCTATATGTTTTAGTTAAAAGTAAAAGATCAAGTATATAAGAACCTGGATTTATGTAGGATGAAAATGTAATTTTATTAACCAATTCCCCTGGGATTAAAAGAGTGTAGTAGGGCTATTTTGAAAAACATACTGAATATAAAGTATCTGGAGGGTTGAATACAGTCTAAGATAAATAGAGAGCTAAATGGTAGTGAAAAATGGAGAATGGAGATTTATAGATGGGTGAAATAGAAACAGCAATTATAAAACTGAGAAAAGGAAGAAAAACTGGTATTGTTCAGGTGATGGTGGGTATGATCACAACAGCTGGTAGAGAAGGAAAATGTTGGCCATATAGAATATTCAAACACATTTTTCTGGTAACTCCTTACCTGACAGTTGGAATAAAGGATTGTTATACCCGTTTCAAAGAAGTATACTAATGCACATCTGTGTCAAGATACTCAAATGGCACATTGATTCAAAGGAAGTTTGGTTTAATGCAAAGGAGGTATGAATGTAGACTAAGTGAGGAAGAAAAATGGACTGATGGCAACAGCTGCTACAAGACAACTGATGACAAATTTTGGGGGCATAAAGAGTCATCTTTTCATTCAATGGTATTGAGAATGCCTATGACAGTTTGCCGAAAGAAAATGTGGGAAGAGTAGAAAAGTTTTAAATGTGTGTAAAACTTAAGTAAAATGGATCAAGAGAATATATTAAGTTCATAAATATATATAGACCAAGGTACAGGAAGATGGAATGGTTTGATGTGGAGCACTGTCTGAATCCTGTCTGGGGTCTCATGCTTTCTAATGCAGGTATGGAAGGAGCTCTTCAAAGAGTGAAGGGAGAGCGGAGGATAAGAGTTGTAGGCCACCCCATTCACTGATGATGTGATCCGAGATGAAAACATTGTTACGTTGTTTGGTTCAGAGGCATGGTTTCTATTAAAGAGGGATTTCAGCTGGTTGTAATCTGCACAAATGAATTTTCCATGGGTAGTTAAGGGGAATTTGAAAGCGACTTGAATGAGGAATGATTGCAAGAGAAGCATGTTGAATCAGGGGAGCTGAAAGACTGGATGTGTAAAGATAATATATCGGGAGAAGATACCAAGTGAAGTGGTGACGATGTATATTGAGGTCAAGAAGCTGAGGGGGAGATCATGAAGGTGGGAAGATAAAATCTAGAAAGACATTAGAAGAGAAGATTTTGCTGTAGAAATAATTGCATAAGGTCATGGTAAAATGAGAAGAAAAGAATGGAGTTAGCAAATTGCCAGTCCTGGTGAGATGCTGGAGACAGTGACTGATTATGATAGTTACATTTTCCACAAAAATAGATATGAATCTATGAGGATCTCCATGTGTAAGTGCATGGGAATGCGTTGCCATTACCCTTTGGAAATTCACAGAACATGCCCCCTCTATGCCATCTACCTCTGAAAACGTCAGAAAGGGTTCTTTTCTATTGTTTGAAATCCTATTGTCCACCCTTCATGAAAGTAACTGTGCCTATTTGGGTAAATTTGAAAGTGCCATAGCTATGGTGTTTGTCTGCGTTGGGGTGCTCAATCTCCAGCCCGCAGGCCTAATGTGGCCTGTGGAGCCTTGGAATCCGGCCTGCAGGGCTCCTCACTGTTTGGAAAATTTCGTGGTGGAGGAAGCAGTAGCAATACTGCCACCCCTCTTTGCTGCCAAAATCCCAAGCTGTGCAGGGCAGGTTCTAGCTGGGCCACGACCCTCCACTCGCGTGGCCATATCGAGGCCAGGCCACACCTTCTTTCCTTCCTGCAGCTGGGTCAGGGCCAGGCTGCACCCCCTTCTCCATGTGGGGCTGGGCTATGCCCCCTCCCCTTGGGCAGCTGGTTTGGGGCCAGGCCATGCTCCTTTCTTTCCCTTACCCCTTCAGGGCTGGGCCATGCCCCCTTCCCTCCCCTTGGCTAGGTTGGGGCATCGGATCGAGTTCACCAGTGGGTTCTGGCCTGCAGAGACATTGGGCACTGACCATCCATTCCACTGGACAAAAAGGTTGAGCACCACTGGTGTACATAGAACAATACAGACACATATAAAAACAGCTGAGAGAGGTCTACACACACCCATTCTAGAATCAGAAGCATTATAGCTGCACTAGCAGGGTACTGCACCCAGACCAATAAGTCCTCCTTCTAATCGGAGGTAATTACCTGTGCTTCAGTGCTATGTTAGCATGTTAATAATATTGCTTTTGTGCATGGTGTTGCTTTTCATTGTGTAGACACACCTATACATGTTCCAGAAGCCATAGTTGCAGATGAAGAAATGTATTCATTGCTTGTTCTTTTTTGTTTTGTTTGTTTTTTGAATGAATGAATCAGAGCCACAAAGAGTCACCCAAAAGGTGACTCTCATGGTATTAATTTCTCATTGTAGACAGATAGGCCATTCCAAAATACTTACAAGTTATTTTTCTAATGTGCGGACTCCTGTCCTAGCAGCCTTTTTGCTGCAGGCCAGAGCTTGCTGACCCCCAACTATGGACAGCAGATGTCTGCCCCCTGGAAAGCTCAAGCTGCAGAGGGGATGAGTGGTTTGGCACAGTTGTGTTCTGCCCAGTCCCTTGGGCTGAGTTGGATCCAATCTGTTTGTTGGCTGGATTTAGCCTGTGGGCTATAGGGTGCTGATACATGTGGTAGGGTGTGGTTAAGGCTAACATTTATTGTATATTTAGGGGCTTAAAAGTGTAATAAAAACCAAATGGAGCTGTTCTTGTGTCAAAAAAACCCAAAAAACCTCTTGATGAAATGAGAATAATTCTGATACCCTGTGGAGCAAAGCATGTCATTTTACACTTATATCCCACTAACCTGTACTAAAAAATTGTTCATCCTAGTGCTCCCCCCCCAATGAAGCAGCTACTTTGTGGCCTAGCAGTTATACTGCTCTGAGATCATTGGAACAGATTGTGACTTTTTTTTTATGAGTTAAGTGCGAAGGCATACCACTTCCACCTACTTTTGGACTGCCACCCTGGAAATTTGGCATGTAACAGACCAACCTACCCCTTGCTTCATGATGTTGGTTCTGTAAAGTGCTCTGGCAACTGGCATGGTCCTTGGCCTCCTTCATCTGAAGTGAGAAAGTAGTCAATAGGCCTTGTGTAAAAGCAACCAAAACAATGCTGTGACAGCAAATGGATTGCAGCAGAGATAGTGACTTAGTTACAACTGCAGGTAGCATGGCTAGTTCCATGAATGCTGGAAAAAGGCCTTGAAATCCCAGTATAGGAGGGTGCAGGTGGTCAGCTAGGATTCATCACGATTACTCTGATTATCTGGTCAGGAGGGGACTAACTCAGGTCAGGCATGTAGTTGTTTTCTAGGCTTGCTGGAAAACGGAGTGCAGGCATGGCAAGGACTATGGAGCTGCTGACAGAAAATTGTCCAGCTTGTCCAACTTATATGTGTACAGTAGTCTCCTATAGCCATCCTCACAAGATTCTCCAAGAAAAGATATCGCCCACAAAAATCCTTGTCTCATTTTTTGTGGACCGTCATAGGTACATCACCACCCTAGCTCTGTTTAAAACCTGCTTTCATTTGAAATGCTTCTGAAGCATACCTCTCTAAACCCCTAATTTAAAAATAAAAATTAAAGCCAAATAGTCCTTAAAAATCTCTAAAAGAAAAATTCAATATTAGTTGCTTATGAAGATGAAAACAAATGATTGAAAATTTAAATCATTTTTGCTTTGTAGCTTGGCTGAACTCTCAGGTACCAGTCTCTGGGCCCGGCCAAACTGTGTTTAGTATAAGAATAAAAGCAACAGGATGCCAAAAATGATTTTATATTATATTACTTTTACATTTTGACAACCCTGTGACACTTTTGGAAATATCTTGCGCCTAATAAATTTAGAACGTCATCAGAGCAGTTTTGCCTTTGACCAGTCTTAGCTTTTTACATTAGCAAGTTGATTTCTTTTATAATATTTTATATCGGTTTATTTCAGAACCATATTTTGGTTTCATGTCCTGTGACCTGGCTATGAAGAAGATCTGTAAGTATTGTTAGGAAAGGTGTTGAATCCTTGTTAAAATTGTCACGCTGAAACATTTTACTTATTAGATCTATAGTATATTTGAATTTAACTTTTTGAAGGTACTAGCTGTTATTTTTTAGTCAAAAGTACATGATATTCCTTTATTTGGCGTTTTGGTTATATATAAGGTCCTGAGAAAATAGTGGATTTTTTGTTGAAAATTCGCAGCATGTGCACAGGTAAAGTATCATTTTTCATGGAATATTCATAGAACTACCACTGATCTTGGCAAATGGGTCCCGGTAGTTCTGTGAATATTCTGTGAAAAATGATATTTTACCCATGTACGTGTGGCAGGCAGGCACACAGCCGTAGGCGGTAGAAGACTGGGGCTAACGGAGCATAGCCTGTCCCCCCCCCTCCCTCCCCCCCAAACATGGGACAGTGCAGAGGGCCACAGGGCAGCCTGGGCGTGGGCTCTGGGTGGCTCCAGTGGGGAGGAGGGATGTGGACAGACAGGCACGGAGCCTGCAGGCAGCCGGGATTGCAGCCAGACAGCATGTGGAGTCCTGCCCCTAACAGCAGGTAAGTTGGGGAAGGGGCGTGGGGGGATGCAGATCAAGGCCCCCACAGTGAGGGAGGGAGAGGGGCAGGGGCTGTGGTAAATGGGGTCCCGGGGCAGGTCTGGGGATGCTCGGAGCCCGGGTGACTTGTGCAGGGGGGCTTCTGCCACTGCACACCTTGGGAGAAGCCCAGGGGGCACACGCCCCCTGGATTTGTGCATGGGACGGAGGCAGTCTGTCACTGCGGGCTGGGCTTTGTGTGCTGCTGGCTCTGCCCTGGGAGCTGGCTTGGGAACCAGCGGCAGTAGGCACATGGCATCACACGTGGCAGCCAGCTCCTGGGGCAGCAATGCACAGAGCTCAGCCTGCAGCAGCAGCCCACTTCTGCCCTGCACACAAATCCAGGGGGCAAATGGCCCCCAGGCTTCTGAGGTGCATGAAGCGGCAGTAGGGCCCCCCACCCCCCCGGACAAGCTGCCCGGGCTCTGAGTGTCCCATGACCTGCCACGGGGCCCCATTCACCACAGCCCCCATCCTTGCCTCTGCCCCACTACCTCCTTCATTGCTGGGGCCTTGATTTGCCCCTCCCATGCCCCTTCCTCTTCCCTAACTTACCTGCTGTGGTGGGTAGTGCTCTGCATGCCATCTGGCTGCAATCCTGGCTGGCTGCAGGCTCTATGTCTACCTGTGCATGCCTCCCCCCAGCCCCGCAGTCTTCTGGAACCCCAGCCCGGGCTGCCCTGTGGTCCTCTGTGCTACCCCGCGTTTGGGGCGGCTAAGCCCTGTTAGCCCTGATCTTCTCAGGGCTCCAGTTATATCTACCATACAATTTTTTTTTTTTTTTTTTTAAGTATTTCAGTTTTACTTTTATTGAATTATACACTATTTTCTTTAGAAATATTTCAGTCTTCTGTTTTTCCATACTAAATAACCCTAACTTTTTAGCCTTTCTTTGTAAGTTATGTTTTCCAGGCCTTTAATTATTTTTGTTGGTCTCTGCTGA